CCCTTCTCCCTTTTTGGCTCTCGTCTTCTTCCTTATTCCTCTCTCTTCGTCGCTTCTTCCTTCCTTTATTTCCCACTCCTCATCCTATATCCGAATCTCTTCCTCTCTTTCTTCCCCCCACCACCACTCTCCCTTCTTCCACACTGCCCCTCCTCCCTCCCTCTCATTTTCCCCTCTTCCTCCCACACCCCCTCTTCTCCTCTCCCCTCTCCCCCACTCTCTTTTCTCCCATCTTCCCCCCCCCACCCCCACATTCCCTTCTCCCCACATCCCCTCCCTCCTCTCCCTCTCCCCTCCTCCCTGCCCCTCCTTTACCCTCCTCCTTCCCCCTCCTTTCCCTTCCTCTCCCTTCTCCCCTCTCCCCCAGATCAGACTGCGAGAGGGGACGGTCAACGGGAATGCAGTTTTGTTTTCATAAGCGTGGCTTTTGGCGCGCGGGAGATCGCTTACACTACTATTAATAGAAAGTAATGGCGGACTACGGCCGCGTCTGCCTCTGATTCGCTTGTGATTTGCCTGCTTTTGCCTTTTCTTTGCTTGTGTTTAGATATTTTTTGTTTTTCTTTCTCCTTGGAGGTTGGTTTTAAGCTGTGGTTATATTTGGTGTGTTTTTCTTTTCTTAGTTCTGTAATATGAGATTTCTTGATGATTTTTTTTTATTTACATTTGGTCGGACGGTAGGGATTAAAATGTTTTGACAGCGAGAGCAGGGGTTGTTGTCTTCGTAATTTGATGCGGATTTAAAAAAGAAAGGTGCAATCTGATCTTCATTAGCACAATAATCTAATTAGGAGAACATCGGTAGTCGTTTAATAAGATGAAAGAAACAAGTTGATACGATTTAATTTCAAGGGATTTCGTGGATAAAGCGGATCCGTTTTCTGTGGGCGAGTGAGTCCCGTTTTCTGTTACCTTTGCGTCCTGGTCGAGGTTTGGTTGGTAATGATGTTTACTTTATACAAGTGCTGGGGTTTTGTTCCTTTTCTCTCTTTCTTTCTTTTTTCTGCTGCTTGCTATTCGCGCTATAGTTTCGTTTATTTCTAGGGTGATTAATATTCTTCTTTATATATTTCCAATGTTATTCTACCTCCCTATTTCCATCCTTTCCTTCTTCCATTCTCGCCTCCCTCTCCATTCTATCTTCCCTTTTTATCCTCTTCCCTTTCTATCCTCTTCCCTCCTCTCTATCTCCACTTCCCTCCATCGTCCATCTCTCTCTCTCTCCTTCCCCTGTTTATACTCTGATTCACACCCAATGCTGAGTCACTATTGACACACTTGTACAAATCGCCGGTCACCAGTTTTTACCCTTAGGACACCCTCAGTGTGGATATAGTTCGTAATGGTTTGTTTCGAGAGTGTAATAAAAAAAATAATTAAAAATCAAAAGAATAAAAAGATTTCTGGCGGGTAGAAGTGAGGTTAGAAGTTCGTTTTCAAATCTGATAAAAGTGATTAGGATAGAATTCATTATAGACGTGATTTTCAATTATTCATGTGTTTTTGGCACACATCACAACAACCATGCGTTTGTATTTTGTTTTATTTTTATCTTTTATCATTATCCGTCCCTTATTCTTACCCTCGCATCCGAATATACAAATAAATACTCGAAGAAACCAGTAAACAATTAAACAAACAAAAATAGATAAACGAAAATGGTCAGACGTTGCCGCCTCTACTTTCCAGGCAGACAGCAGGAAGCCCAGGATAATAATTCAGATTTCCGCCATTGATAAGAGGCGTGTGTGGCCGCGCCTTGTGTACGGACGTTAATTGCATCTTGTTATGGGCGTCTACGGGAAAGGAGAGCTGCGGGCGGGAGGGGCGGGAGAGGAGAGGGAGGAGAGAGAGAGGTGCGGGAGGAGGGCGCGGAGAGGGAGACTGCGGGCGGGAGGGGCGGGAGAGGAAGGGTGCGGCGGAGGGCGGGAGAGGGAGACTGCGGCGGGAGGGTGCGGGAGAGGGAGACTGCGGGCGTGAGGGTGCGGGAGGGAGGGTGCGGAGAGGAGGCGGCGGAAGGTGCTGCGGGCGGGAAGGTGTAGGAGGGTAAGCTGCGGGCGGGAGGGTGGGAGAGGGAGGCTGCGGCGAGAGGCGGTGTCCCGAGGGCGTAGGATGTGGTGGAAAGTAGGGAAAGCGCCGGTGGGTACTGGCTGAATTACATACTGTGTACACGCACGTCCAGACACGGAGATCTAGGTATTGAGATATGCACGCCCTCATTACGCGCAGACATGCACGGGAATTCACGCATACATACGCATGCGCACACACACAAAGATAAATAGATACATAGATAGATAGATGCAGAGAGAGAGAGAGAGAGAGAGAGAGAGAGAGAGAGAGAGAGAGAGAGAAGACAGAAGAAGAAGAGAGACAGAGAAAGAGGGGGGGAAGAGGGAATACAGTGATAGAAAGAATAGAAGAGAGAGGAAAAGGAAAACGAGCGAGCAAGCAACGATGAAAGAGAGACTCGAAGCTAGAACGAGTTGAAGACCCGATACCATTTCCTCTCCAGCAGACCATATTCCCTCCTGAGGACGTGAAATAAGTGGACATAAAAAGATAAACTTTATGGGGCGGGTATGAACCTCCTTCACAAAGGTCATGGTTCGTTGCAAGTGACCGAGAGGATATCCTAATATCCTTTGGCTTATCCCGAAAACGTGACCATAAATACTACAGTGTATCTAAAGAGACTGCTGATCATTGTGGGAAAACCACGTCCTTTTTGAGAGTGACAGAGAGGGAGACAAAAAAGAAAAAGAGAGAGAAAGATATGGATAGATAAAGAGAGAGAAAGAGAGAGAGAGAGAGAGAGATGGAAAGAGAGAAAATAAAAATAAAAACAAGAACGGGAGCGAGAGAAAAAGAATGAAATCCTAGGCTGCAATATTTTGCAGTTGGATGTCCCTTGGCGTGAAGAAATCCTACTCGAGATGAGGACCCTCTTGTGTGAGAGAGAGGGAGGGGGGGAGGCCTCTTTAAGAATAGTATCCTACTTGAAAGTATTATTCAATGTTCCCTTTAGATAACTCAAACATGTTTTGATTTTGTTTAAACATGTGTCTGCAATATCACACGCTTACGCCTTTGTTTAAATACCGTTTTTTAAAGGTTAGGCTTTTGTACGTACATTTGTGGTTAAAATAGAATTGACTCTTTTTACCTTGTTTATCCAGGGGATGGTTAGGGGACATTGAATGTACTAAGGATTATTATTGTTATATAATTTTCCTACAGGTAGCATCAACATATTACTTTGCTTTATCATCCTCATTTCTCGGTGATACTAAATAACAGCAACATCAAATGTGTTGAGTATCTACAATATTTCTTAAATTATTTTAGGTCAGTAAAATTTATAGTGATGAACGGATTTACGTGTAGTCATTATTCAACTTATTATCATTTCATCTCTAACTTCCTCCTCTCTTCCAGATTGCTTCACTGGATCCAGAGCAAACTGCCCGACCTCCCCATCACCAACTTCACAAGCGACTGGAACGATGGCCGGGCTGTCGGTGCTCTTGTAGATTCTGTGGCTGCCGGTCTGTGTCCTGATTGGCCAGACTGGGTGCCTGCAGATGCCCTCAAGAACGCTACAGAAGCAATGACCCTCGCCGATGATTGGCTGGGAGTTCCTCAGGTCGGTTAGAATGGGGCGGAGCTTGTGGGGGTATATGAGAAGGGGATTGGAGGGGTCATTGGGATGTGGGTTGAAGATAATTTTTTTTTTTAAGATGCTGCAAGGAGATTGATTATTTTATGTGTACATGGAAAATAGTTTGCATGAATGAAACTGTAGAATCCATTTTGTATCGTAAAGACTTCCATATTCTGCAAATATTTGAACCTTTCGAGCCATGCATTATACCGAGTCCTTTGATTATTTTTTGTCATTCGGAAAAAAAATCTTTGAACCGGAAAATTATAACAATAAAAAAACATACATTTTGCATGTCGTGCTGATTTCTGCTTCTTCTCAACAGCTGATCACACCAGAGGAGATGGTCAACCCCAACTGTGATGAACTTTCCATGATGACTTACCTTTCTCAGTATCCCAACTCGAAGCTCAAGTCAGGGGCGCCTCTACGCCCTCGGACAAATCCCGGCCGGTGAGTAAATGAAACTTCGAAAAGGGATCGTGTGTGTGTGTGTGTGTGTGTGTGTGTGTGTGTGTGTGTGTGTGTGTGTGTGTGTGTGTGTGTGTGTGTGTGTGTGAGTGAGGAGAGAGAGAGAGAGAGAGAGAGAGAGGAGAGAGAGAGAGAGAGAGAGAGAGAGAGAGAGAGAGAGAGAGGGAAGGGAGAGAGAGAGAGAGAGAGAGAGAGAGAGAGAGGAGAGAGAGAGAGAGAGAGGGAGAGGGAGAGAGAGGAGAGAGAGAGAGAGAGAGAGAGAGGAGAGAGAGAGAGAGAGAGAGAGAGAGGAGAGAGAGAGAGAGAGAGAGGAGAGAGAGAGAGAGAGAGAGAGAGAGAGAGAGAAGAGAGAGAGAGAGAGAGAGAGAGAGAGAGAGAGAGAGAGAGAGAGAGAGAGAGAGAAGAGAGAGAGAGAGAGAGAGAGAGAGAGAGAGAGAGAGAGAGAGAGAGAGAGAGAAGAGAGAGAAGAGAAGAGAAAGAGTGAGTGAGTGTGAGTGTGAGTGTGTGTGTGAGAGAGAGAGAGAGAGAGAGAGAGAGAGAGAGAGAGAGAGAGAGAGAGAGAGTGGATGAGTGAGAGTGAGATGTGTGTGCATGTGTGGCTTTAAGTGTGCATGCGTGTACATTTATGTATGTATTAATGTATGCATGTATGTTTATGTGTATGTTTGAGAGAGAGAGAGAGAGAGAGATTACATTTATAAGTACAGATATTATTGATTTTTAGAGAGACTAGTCAAAGAAGCTGTAATATATCTGCATATAGAATTTAGAAAAAAAAAGTTATCTACACTGAAGCAAAGACATAGTTTAGCTGTTATTGTCTTCATCAAAAGGATCTTTTTTTTACCAAATTAGAAAAAAATAT